CCCCGGGCGCAGCCACGCACCGTCTCCTGCTCAGCACTGCCGGCGAGGTCGCAGAGGCAGCTCCGTGGCTGCAGCACCAGATTCGTGGCGCTGCTCTGCCTATTCCTTTGCTTCTCCCACTCTGTTGGCATCTGGCTCGCCTGCGTGTGTGGAACGAGCCTGCGTGGTTTCGTGGTCTTCCCAGGAATTTCTGCATGCATTTGAGCCATCTGCGGGCCCCGAGCTTCCAAATCGCTGGCGCAGAGGAGAGTGCTGGTCCACAGGCCGGGCTAGTCGCTTCACCTGCCCAACTTCAGCTCCTCCATCAAGAGGAACTGGTGAAGAGCAGCAGATACAACAAACCAGTTCTGCCTGCATGCACGCCACCAGCAACCACCGGCTGCTTGGCATGTGCATAATTAACCACCCCACTAATGACACCAGGGAGCAGCAGCACTCCCTCCCCACCAAAAAAAAAAAAAAAAAACAAAAAGCCCCCCCAAAGCCCTTTATAGTATTTCCACAAGACTAATATAAAGCAGATGTATCCTGCTGAGTTCACAGTATGTTTCCAGGAAGCAGACAGCAATTCAGAGTAATTTACACCCCAGTTGCAGAAGAGCCAGCAAAGCAATCCCCACAGCAGCTCCCGCTCTGGGGACGAGCCCGGCAAGCCTCTGTGCTCTGGCCCCCCGCAGCACGACCTGCTGCACCCTGCACAGGGACTGGTACCACGGCAGAGCCGTGCTCCAGGCTCAGAGGGAACAACTGCACCGAGGAGCTGGGTTTGACGACTATCCGACACGAACTAGCATCATGATTCTTGCTCACTAATCCCTCCAAGGGTTACCACCCGCCCCGACATCACTGCTGAGCTAATGCACTCATTTTGAAACAGCGGTGACACCAGCGCACTCCTTCTCCGATGCGCGCATCCTTCGGCAGGAACAAAACCCGGGGATCCAGCGTGCCCACAGCCGGGGCAATCGATACCCCCAGGCCCGAGGCTCTCCTCGGCCGAGGCGCTGCTGCAGAGTGCTCCAACCAGCCAGCAGAGACTCCAGGAACGACTGACTGCAATCCACAAAGTTTTAGTACACGCTATTTTGATTCAAGAGGTTACAGGCAAAACACATAAAAACATTACTCATTATTTGCTAATTAAAAGCCAAAAGCATTGAGAGTACAAATCTTACAGCTCTTTCCACAAAGATTTTTTCCCCCAGTGTTGATCTTCTGTTTGACATTAGCTCACTCCCAGAGAGGAAAACGTTCCAAAGGAACAAAAATAAAAATCCCTTTTTCTAACAGGCCCTTCACAAGCCAAAGGAAACTCCTGCCCCAGTACACCCAGGCAAACGAGATCAAAAGGAAAGCAGGGTTAAACAATTCTTCTCGGTTGTATAATAGGAGGAAAACACACCAGTGGCGAGGCCCTGCCCATGTTCAAGATCGTCAGGGTAGCTGGTGGAAGGACAAACAACACAGGGAAGAGCTCCGATTGCTTAACCCCTGCAGAGCCAGGCTCGCAGGCTCGGCCACCCAGCAAGGCAGCTCCTTTCTCTGGAGAGCTCCTCGGGATCTGTGAAGGCCGGCCGATAGCCCTGGGAACACCTACGGGCATCGCGCCCAGCGCTGGCAGCGCCTCAGAATCCCACAACACGAGACAACGCTGCCGGTACTAAGAAAGCACAGCCGGCCCGTGATCTCTCCCAGCCGGGACCCAACAAACTCTTCCTGTTTTCCAAACCTGTAATGTGTTAAAAGGATTGAAGTGAAAGAGGCTGGAGGCAGAACGGGTCGCTGGGGAAGTCAGCCACCTGAAGAAAGCAAGGAAGGAAAAGACATCTTTGGGAAGCTCCTCGAGGTGGCTGCTGAAAGCAGAGCAGCTCAGCACACCCAGCGTCACCTCTGCACCTACAGAAGCAGGGGAGGGTCTAACAGGGGGGTGCACCCACAGGGGCCTGGGCAGAGCTCACCTGAAACGGCAAGCTGAGCAGTCCGGGCAGAGCCCCGCGCTGCCCCATCCCTCCCCTCCAGCACAGCCTGCTCGCTGGCGCGTGCTTGGCACGAGACAGCTTTTATCTATCCCAACCCCAACTCCACGGCCGGAAAACTGCAACGGCAGCTCTCTTCCAGAGCCATGGGACGAGCAGAAGCAACGACCACAGACCAGACCCAGCCCCTGCTCTGCTCCAGCCACCCTCACCTCCAGCCGGCGAGGAACATGACAAGATTTCCCGGGCTGCCAAGTCCTTGGCGCTGCCTCAAGTCCTCCAGCCCCACGAAAGGCAGAAACCAGGACTCGCAGCTGACTGCAAGCCTCTGCTTCGCAGCCGAAAGCAGCTCAGGGAACGCAGCTTGGGGCTGCAGGTTGCTAAGCCATGGCAATGACTCCTGGGGAAAAAAATAAAACCCACACGTTGTTTTGGGAATATCCAGGTCCTGTTCTTTGCTCAGACACTCTGACAGGGTGGCCTGACCCGGAGCAGCTGAGCTGCCCGCCCAACTCCTGCTGCTTCGCTTCTGTACTTTCCTCAGACCAAGCCCTTCCAGAGCTCAGGAATTCAATCGACAGCGCTGCAAAGGGGCTTTGATGCCTCGGGCAGGACGGCCAACGGGGCAGAAAGAACACGAAACCCCACAGAGAGGCAACAACATGGGGATAACTGGGAGAACACTCAAAGGTCAGCACCGCTCCGGTGCTGGGGAAGGAAACCTTGGGGCAGATCTCCACCAGACAGCAGGATGTCCTCCAAAAGTGTTCCAAGAGGAGGGGGATGCTACGCCCATGCCTCATCTCCTGCCCGGCCACGCACTCACCTGCCTGGCAGCGGCTGCGGCGCCAGGCGAGACCCTGGCCGCAACCCTCCTGGCACACGAGGGCTGTCCCCGTCACCCACTGCCCGCGGCAACGGCGCTACGCTCGCTCCGGGCATCGCACACAGAACCGCAGCTCCCAAGCCTCTGGCTCCTGTGCCCAGGTTTATCAGAAGGGAAACGTTCAAGATCCAGGCGGAAACACACATTCTGGGTTTTGTTCTTCCTGCTACGAGCTCAATGTTCTTCCACTCGCTGCATTTCAACACCGCAAAGACTCTTCATTTTGCCCAAGCTCTGCCTGCAACAGCTCCTGCCCGCCAGGACCTCAACGAGGTCCTGTCCCACTAAAATCCACTCAGGACACCGGCTGCCCTCCCCAGCTGTCGCTGAGCTCCAACACCTCCCACAACCCCTGAGAGCACGGAGGAACGCGGCGCAGCACGCTGCCACAGCCCGCAGTGCATCTGCAGGCAGATGGAAGGTGTTGCAGGACCCCAGGCCGCTGCCGGGGGCTGCACGCTCCCCATCCGCGGCGGCAGAGGCACCGGCAGGCTCCGACCTCGCAGGGGGGCCAGGCCCTGCACCCACGGGAAGTGGCTCCTGGAGGGCATTCACAGTTACGAAGCAGAGGATGCGAGGGTCTGCAGGGCAGGCTTCCCCTCATTAGACAAGTGGAACAAGCCCCTTGTTAACAGCTGGGACCCTGCTGGAACTGCACAGCGGAGCTTCACCCAGCTCTGCCCAGCCTTTCACTCCCTCGGTCGTTTCTTACGGCGTCAAGACACAAAGAAAACAAAAAGCCTAAATCTGAAGTTAAACTAGTTTGTGCTCGGGGTTTTTCCTCCCCCAGAAGCAGCAGATGTGAACCACAGCCAGCAGAATGTCTGAACACAGACAGGAGGTTACGAACAGCACCCCGCATGCCCACTCACCAGCAGCCCGTCCCCTCCTAACCCCACCGCGTGCCTCATCCCAGAGGGAACCACGCCGGGCGGCTCCTTTGCGCAGGGGCAGACATGCGCTGCAGTACCTGCCACCGAAGGGCAGGCCTGGCAGGCAGGAGGACGCCTGGGAGCTGCACCCCAGGAGCTCCCAGCCCCCCAAACTCCCTGGGGCAGAACCTGGGTCCTCACAGGTCAGCTGAGTCTCCACGCTCCCGCTCAGACTCACCTTCGACTACCGGCACTACCGTGGTGCCAGGCAAGCCCAGACCAGCTGCCACGTGGAAATCCTAACAAACGAAGACCAAAAAGCTTTTTGGCTCCAGCCCAAAGCACTTGGATGTGAGGGGTCTCTCTAGACCCGGTGAACAACCCCATCCTGACAGCAGGGCAGCACGGATGCTGCTCAGTAAGCAGCGTCCGCCGTTTTGCGCAGCGAGGAGCCCACAGGAGCTGCGAAGCCCCGCAGTGGGCCAGCCTCCACGCTGGCTGGCTCAGCGAGTGACACAGGCAGGGACTGACCGCTGCGCAGCACAGCTCACGGCTCGCCCGTACCTACGGCTCCGTCCAACCCTCACTCCGCGCTGCCTCCAGCTGTCTCTGCAGCCTTTCGGGTGCCTTCCCAGCACCCTAGACTCATCAGTGGGTTTTTTTAACAAAGCACTTTCCCTGCCAGTGACAGGCAACCTCGCTCTTTTGAGAGCACTCTGGGAATTCCCGTGTCTGCCCTTCTAGAGCATCAAGTGAAATGAGATAGGGAAATCAGGCAGGGGCAGTTTTTAAGCCAGTTTGGCAAGATTTATATTAAACCTCTGAAATTCAAGGAAGATCTTGCTATTTCCCTGTAGACACCCATTTACAACAAAGGTTCTTTAACAGCTTTAGAGCGAGGGCTGGGTCCCTCGCTGTGAACCTGCACAGCGCCGTGAAGAGCAGGCTGGGATCTCCGAGCGGCGATCGAGGCAGATCTGACAGCTACAAGCTGTGAGCGGAGCCGCATGTGTTGCACGGTCAGCTGCAGCGGGGGACTGCCAAAGCACACCAAGATCTTTCTTGCCAGCAGAGCAAAAGCAAAGTTTTCAGATAAATAAGGCTTCAAAGCCAGTGGCAGCAGCCAGCTGAAAGCCCTGAGAGCATGTATAAAGCAACACCCCACAGAACTGCTGACGTAACTCCAACTGTTCACGCGTCGGAGGCTCCGCGTGTGTGGAGGAAGGACTGAAACTCGTCCGCAGCCTGGAGAGGTGCTCGATTTACCTTCCACGGCAGAATTCCTCCCCAGGCAGCAAAGAGACAGGGCTGGGCTGGGTTCACTCTTTGCAGGGAGACGCTCCCAATGGCCCATCTTTTCCCCTTCCTCTTCTACAGTTTAAAAAGTCATTCTCCAAGGGCCGAGAGCCGCTGCCACGCGGGAGTCATAAGGGCAGACAGCACAGATCTAGTCACAGGGGAAAAAAAAAAAAGGGAAGAAAAGATAAGCATGGTGAAAACTGAGGTGTGAAAGGCTGTGCCCGGGCCTTGACCCCTCTCAGGGCCCACACGAAGACACCTCTCTTCCTCCACACATGGACCCAGGCCATCAGCCACACAGAAACGAAACCTGCGTTTCCTGAAGGGCCTCTGCAGATCTCCTGAACAGCCGGATCACCGGCGCAGAACCCCTGAGCGCCGGGACACGAGCCCCGCACGCCCCGACGCAGACACACGCTCCCCTGGGGACAAGGCTCGAAGCTGGTCGCGAGAAGAGAGCCACCGCCACAGCTCAGACCGCCCCTCACCTCGTCTTCCAACACAGAAAGTTAACCTGCCTTGCCGCCTTTTATTTTTAAATTTAAGTGGGCAGAATAAGGGTCCCCCCGGAGCCCCCCCCCAGCCTCCGAGCCCTCGCGCACCCCGGCCTCCCCAACAGCAGCACGCTGCTGGAGGCAGCCCCGCCCTCAGCCGGAGCTCTCCTCGCCTCGCCCCACTGCGCGTGGCGGCAGCGGAGCCGGGACGAGAGGCGTTCCCAGCAAGAGCACACTGAGTGCTGCGGAAGGAAGGTTTGCCCAGTAGGTAACGTCTGGGCTGCCGAGTTATGCAATCCTGCTAAAAATAGCTTCCCAAATGCCACCCTAAGATCTTCTGACACAAATCCAAGTTTTTCCTGCAGCTCCTCTGCTCACTCTAGCGTTGCAAAAATTGACAGCAT